ATTCTAGATTCATTACATGTAAAGTAAAACATTTCAAAAGTTTTTTTTTGTATTAATTTTGATGATTAGAACTTACAACTCATGAAAGTCAAAAATCCAGTATCTAAAAATATTAGAATATTTCCTAAGATCAATCAAAAAAATTATTTGCAAAACAGAAAAGTTCAAGTTCTTTAAAGTATGTTCATTTATGCACTCAGTACTTGGTCGGGGCTCCTTTAGCACAAACTCCAGCATCAGTGAGGTGTGGCATGGAAGCGATCAGCCTGTGACACTGCTGAGACACTATTGAGCCTTCAGCTCGTCTGTATTGTTGGTCTTCCTTCCAGTCAACTTTGCATTTAATATGCTTTGATACAGCACTCTGTGAACAGCCACCACTTTCAGTAATGACCTTCTGTGATTTACCCTTTTTGTGGAGGGTGTCAATGATTGTCTTCTGGACCATTGCCAAATCAGCAGTCTTCCCCATTATTGTGGTTAAAAAGAACAAGAGATACCCGGCATTTATACTGTTGGGATGGTCATTTAATGAAACTCAAATGTAATTATTCTAATATTTTGAGATACTGGATTTTTGACTTTCATGAGCTGTAAGCTCTAATCATCAAAATTAAAACGAAAAAACTTTTGAAATGTTTTACTTTACATGTAATGCATCTAGATTCTAGAATATATGAAAGTTTCACTTTTTGAAATAAGTAACTTTTTGACAATATTAAAAAATTTTGAGATGCACCTGTATATGTAAGGGATAATCTCTGCTTGGCGTCAGGGTCCTGATCACCCTGTCGGGGTTTATTCCAACCGGCTGGATGTACATTATCCCGTTTATTACACGGCTACTTGCCACATAAGTAAATAATTAGACGCGAAATATTGATTTGAGTTGAAATATTTGAACGCAAAGCTTCCGTGTAGACAGCAGTTGCGAGCAAGCGGCAAATTCAAACTAGATGGACATTTAAGGGAAACACTTATGCAGTCAAACCACTTATTACACAACATTTCACCTCAAAAATAATTAAGGCAATAAAATAATAAAGACAAAAATGTTTTAAAATCTTACCAGTTTGTTAGGTCTCATAATCCATTACAGCGTACAAAACAATCGTAGCAAAAATGGTAGCAGCTGCGTTTGTATGAAACGAGAGCGAGTCCCCGATACCGGATGACATAATTAAATAATTGTACACCAATTTGAATCGAGTTTTAATATTTTATTAGCTAAAGTTAACAATGTTAACAACGATGTTTTTTTCTTGGAAAATACATCTGAAAAAACGCGGCCATCTTATATTCAGGGTCTAGACTTTGACATGTCAATAATACACCCACAACAATAGGTGGCGCCAAATATGCATAAAACGAGTGTGCCATGAAATGCGTAATGTAATGCGTGTTGTAAAGATCATGAGTAAAAACAAAAGAGAAAGTAAAGCTTACAGCTGCATGAGTCGTGACTGTCACGTTAGCCTGATGGGAGCAAACTCTTTTGTGATTGTAAAACGTAAGACAGTACCCAGATTTGAAGACTATAGTAAGATTTAACTTCTACTGTTAATAAGATTTTGGTAGGCTACTATTAGATGGATAGCCTAAATGTCCTAATTCAGATGGGCTACCTGCTTTTTTATTTTTTTTATTTTTTTATGGTATATAAAAAAAGTGTATATTTTTAAAATGTGATTGTTGGTAGATTTTACCAGTTTTTCCCATACTTTCAAAACAAAAATTAAAATAGGAAAAATATGCTATATGAAAATAATTTAAGACAAAATGTGTTTTACTGAGAAAAAAAAGGAGATTTGTTTTTTAAAAAGCGTTTTTCCAAAAGGTACATCTGGAAAAAGGGGGGTCGTCTTATAATCAGGGCCGTCTTATATTCGGGCCAATAAGATTACAGTGCGTGCATAATTATTATGTCAATATTCTGTTTAAATATTTTTTCCAAGCACGTTTTAACAATTCCAAACCACATAAATCTTAATAACTATTATTATACATTTTACATATAATCATTTATAAGTTATATAATTGTTAATAAGGGCTGGAAATGAAAAATGCCTTATATTCAGATTTTTTACAGGTAAAATGGACCAAAAAAAATCAAATGACACTAAAAAGGTACAAAATTACTATTAAATGCCCACAAGAAGGATGTAATACTAATGCAATATTAGAAACTGCAAAATTAAGGTGATTCCACTGCATAGTGAGATGCTCATTGGGTCAGTATAGTACAAAAAAAAAAAAAAAACTTCGAGAAGATAAGACGGGGTGATGTTTCCGAATTCTTTACCTCAGAGAACCTGACACCTTGTACTTTTGGAGACTCCAGGTAGGATGCAGTTCTGGAAAATGGTGGAACTGGAGGCTAAATGGTTCCTGATGGTTTCACACCTAATTCTTCACCTTATTTCTTAATTCTTTTGCAGTTAGCACGCGTCTTTTCTTCTCTACCTGTTTTTTTTTTGTGACCCTACAAACCCAATGAACATTTCACTGGCCAGTGGTCTCGCCTTTTGCAATTTCTAATATTGCATTAGTATTGCATCCTTCTCGTGGGCATTTAATAATTTAAACATTTTCAGTGTGTGTTAAATCTCTTTTTTGGCCCATTTTACCTATAAAAATAACACTGCTTAACCCTCAATCATCCTTCGGGACAAATTTGGGCAAAATCATTAAAAAAAATGTTTTTTTTAAAAATAGTTTCCTTAATCTGAGCGGTTCAAGAAATGGCTACTTTTCGTAAATTTGCCACCTGAATACACACAAAAAAAGGACTCATTCAAAAATGTTAAATGTTTGAGAGAAAAAAAACTCAATTTTACCTTTGTGCCAAAAAGTGGGCACCCATAGGAAATGAATGGGAAATACCAAAATTCAAAGCATTTTTTTAAATTTGTCCAACTAAAAATCAATAAATCAAACACAATGCATATCAAACATACACACCCACAAACACTCACAAAAAAAGTCATTGAGTACTACAGCGAAACAGTGGCACTGACACACACACACACACACACACACACACACACACACACACACACAAAAGAGGACTCTATTCAACAGTTAAGTGGTTGAAAAAAAACAACAACTCCTTAATTTGACCTTTGTGCCCAAAAATGGGCACCCATAGGAAATTAATGGGAAATACTAAAATTCAAAGCATTTTTTTTAATTTGTCCATTAAAAATCAATAAATCCAACACAATGCAGATCAAATTAAAGTTTGGGCCTATACAACATTCTCAATGTGTCAAACACACTCACTCACACACACACGCACACACACACACACACAAAGCGATTGAGTACTACAGCCAAATAGTGGCATTGAAATGTTTGATATTTTTATTCCATCATACGTCACCAGATGGCACCAAAGTCACCAAATTTTTATCTTTTGGCTTTCTGAACTTACTGCAATTATATTTTTTTTACTGAAGTAAAAGAAATATTAAATATAACATTAAAAAGAAGCATATTTTACATAGAAATCCTTCTGGACAAATTTGGGCAAAATCTTTTTTTTAATAGTTCCCTTAATCTAAGTGGTTCAAGACTTAGTTCAAGTTTTCCACCTGAACACACACAAAAAATAGAGGACTTGATTCAACAAAGTTAAGTGGTTGACCCCCCCCATAGGAAATCAATGGGAAATACTCAAAATTCAAAGCATTTTATTTTATTTATCCAATAAATCCAACACAATGCAGATCAAACACACAAATAAATGAAGGGGTGAGCCTATACAACATTCTCAACGTGTCAAACAATCTCTCTCTCTCTCTCTCACACACACACGCACACACCCACATACACACAAACCCACTAAAAAAAAACCATTTGAAAACTACTGCCAACTAGTGGCTATTGACATTTTTTATATTTTTATATTTTTATACCATCATGAGCCACCAGATGTCACCAAAGTCACCAAATTCTTATAGGTTTTGGCTGTCTGAACTTACTGGAATAATTTTTTTTACTGAAGTAAAATAAATATAACATAACCATAAGCATATTTTACATAAAAATATGGTACTTTTAGAGGTAAATAAAATAAAAAATAAATCACATAAACTGCTAGATTTAATTTTATCGAAGATGGTGATATAACATTTATTTTAAAAATAATAATAATAATAATTGGGATCATACCTGAGACCTTCTGCCCAAATTTGTCCACGAAGGACGGATTAAGAGCTATGTTATACACAGGATGCTTGAGGGTTAATAATTATGCACACCTGAATATAAGGCATCTTTTTCGCTTCCAGTCCTTGTTAACAATCATATATAACTTATCAATTATTTTATGTAAAATTAATAGTAGTTATCAAGATTAATGTGGTTTGGAATCGGTCAAATGTGCTTGGGGAAAAAAAATATGATCAAAATATCGACCTGCACAATAATTTACGCACGCACTGTAGCCTATATGTAGTAGTATCTAATTATTATTAAAGTTACACATCTCGTGGGATCTCGCAAAAAGTCGAATGTTGCACATTTTATTTACTGCTGTGAGTTTTAAGGGATACAATGATTGATTTTAGGGGGACTTTAAAATTAATTTAAGTTAAATGTTATGTGTGTAATTATTTGTGTGATAAAATATTTTTCCTATCCTATTTTAATGTGGATATAACTGTAAACAGCCACTACTTACAGTGGATGATTTCCCCAAAAAGCATAGACTGAGCGGCTCCGTGGCACTTTTCTAAAGCATTTCTAAATTTTTTTAAACAGTGACAGTCCACTGGTAGGCCTACTCCACAGAAACGCCACAAAAATGTACTACCGTAATAAAGGTCTGTATAATCATTAAAATAGCAGATATTTTTCCTGTTCAGTTTCTTAAAATGTTAATATTAAAATCTTAAATTAAACAGTTTTCCATCATTAAATTGCCAGCTTATTATTCAATTCTATGTACAGCTTATGTGTTTGATTAACAGAGTTTTGTTTTTGATTAAGGTTTTGCCATGGGTGTCATGAGACTCTGCTTCCTGCTCTTCTGCCTCTGCTCAGCGCACGCCTCTTCTGTGAGAAAACTTAACGATATTGAAGACTTGAAAAATGCTGAATATGGCAATTCTCCTCCACATCATGGACTCCAGTTATTGTTCTGGTTTGCACAAAACGTCCTGAATGTTGATAAAAGCAACAGTCTTATCCTTGATTCAAATTTTGATCCTCATAGAGGAGATTTTGGATTCCATCTGTATGAAAATAGAGAGGCTGTTCTCCCCTCATTGAGCTCTTGGCAGAGTTACTATTCTGTTGGCAATCTAAGTTATCCTGCAGCCAATGCATTGCCGTCCTATGTGCGGAGGTATTATAAGAACACCAATGTGCCCGAAAGAAACATTGACAGGCTCATTGTCTCTGTGGATGAAAACATGCCAAACAGAATATTTAAAGTGTTTATTACAACACATAATCAAGGCAAGAATGACTTTAATCCATCTGAGACCTATGAAATTGATTCTGCACTGATTTTAGAGATCAGATACCCTCTTGATTGCAAATTACATGAAAAAAAAAACAAAATATATTACACTTACAAAATATCCCAATATACAGAAGACATGGAAGATGATAGATGCAGCCAGTTTCTGAAACAAATAGGATATAAAAGCATTGACTGTACATACATCAGCCGTCGAAAGAAACGCTCACTCAATTCCCAATGTAATACATTTGAGGGAATTAAACTAGTGATAAAAGCAACTAAACGAGGGTCTGCAAAACTCACATGGGAGATACCTGCTGACATAATGAAAAAAAACAAAAACGTTGTCGTATACATTGATACTTGGCAAAACTCTCATTCCAGTGATAGTAAGAAAAAGTTCACTCTTTATGACTTATCTGGGGATTTAGAGACTTCTGTTTCACTGAATGCTGGTCTCCAACCCCGACTGCAATTTTTCAATTATTTTGGTAAACCAGTCACTTGGTATGGACCAGAATTTGATGGAACTAACAGAGTGATTCCCATCAGAATAAAGGGGGTTGATGCTAGTCTGCAGCTCTACACTGAAGACGGAAAAGCCTGCGCTCGACTCTACATCAAGAAAACCTTCAGCAACTGGAAAGATGTTCTTTATTACTCATGGGTGGGGTTCTACAAAAGTTCACAACATGAACATTATGACTATTACACCTATCAGTATGCTGTGAAGTTTGAAAAAGTTCAAGGTCATAACACAAAGAAGTATGGAATTTATCAGTACAAGTCAAATTTGGCCATTGCTCCTGGAGTGCAAATCCGCTTACAGAACAGAAATTATAACAATGTTTTAGCACATACTAGTTCCTGGGAGGATGATAAAGAAATTACAATATTACCATCAAAAATCTGCAAGTCTATTCCTGGTCATAAGCCTGAACTGCCACTACCCTGGTCTGAGCCAGTGTACTTTTATGGATCAGAGTTTTATGATGCCAACAAAGAGTTCCCTACTGCAATATCAAATTTTGATGCTAGTCTTCAGCTCTTTACTAAGGATGGTAAAGCTTATGCTAAGCTGTACATCAAAAACACCTTCTGTGATTGGGAAGATGCCTTCTACTATGCATGGGTTGGGTTTTACAAAAGTTCAGAAGATGGAAATGATGACTATTACACCTATCAATATGCTGTGAAGTTTGAAAAGGTTGAAGCCAAGAGCACAAAGGATTATGATGTCTACCAGTATAAATCAAAATTGGCCATTGCTCCTGGAGTTCAAATCCGCCTCCTGCTGAACAAACATTTTGACAAAGTTTTAGCAAAAACTAAACCCTGGTAGGGTGCTGAAGAGCCACAATATTACCATCAGGATTGTGGCAAACAGAATCTTGATCTTCAACCTGAATTCTAATTATTTTCACTGTGCTCTTTTAAAATATATAACATATATGCACTAACATTTGTAACAATCTGCTGCCAATGTCCTGATATGCATGACAATTAACACATTGTTCTAATAAACATAGCATGTGTTGTTAATCAAAGATTTCTCTATGACATCTCAATTTGTTTTCAACAAAAGATTGATATTAATCTAAAAAAGACCAATTTGTGTTAGCAATCATATTCACATGTAAATCATAATAATCAAAATATACTGCGAAATATTTAATTTATACACAATGTATCCATAATATGAAATTGCTTAACTCTGCTTGTTTTATACAAATTGATATTAAAATCTATTACAATGCATTTGATGAAAGTGAGCTGAGTCTGTGTTTTATCAATTTTGTTTTGATATACAAAATTAGCAAACCAGAAGTGAGCAATTGTAATTTCTATGAATCAGAAACCTAGTTCACAAACAGAGGCCAAAGTGGATCAAGTCTGCCTCTCCAAAGTTGCTAAAGCTTGTGATCATCTTCACATTAAGAAGATTAGTCCTTCACTACTATAAATAATAAGTATTCTATTACTCATGGGTGGGATTTTACATAAATTCATTCCAATGACCAGTATATCACATTTAAATAAAAGGTAAAAAGACAGCACAGGGAATTATGAAATTTATACCAGTCAAACTGAACATTGAACTTGTAGTTTAGATTCACTTCATACTGAATAAAAATGTTGATACTTTTTATTTTTACCAAATTAACAAAAACCTAAGCACAACACAATCAAACTATGATGACCTGAATGTTGGTCTTTCACCCGAGTTCTTACCATATCTGCCTAATCTATAATGCTTAAAGAGAATACAGAGGTTTGATGGAAGTCTGACATTTTTGGTAAAGCCTGTGAAAACACTGGGAATAACAATATATTCTTGGCTATAAGTTGCCATCCTTTAACTTCTTCCTTTAAAATCACAATGATTGTCTGTGTCTACATTACTGTAATCACCTCTATTTGTAACAGTTTAATCACTGTGGCATGAATAAATAATGTGTTTTAAAAAAAAAAGTAATGTAAAAGGATAATGCATTGGATTCATTATTAAGCTGCATTATAAATAAATCTCCAATAATTAAAAGACATTAAAGGTTTTATTTGTATTTTGAGGTGGTTGGGAATTGACTACTGTAAAGTGGGCACATACTGCCACCTGATGTCTACTGTATGTGCTCACAAACTTTCATTTCGCCGGGTTTACTGCTGTAATTATTTGTTTTAGTGTGCTGTTATGTCAGAGCTCCTTGTGAGCATAAAATATTGTGAAAAAAAACTGTCAATCTTACTAGAAATGTTGCAGACAAAACAAAACAAACAACAGTGTTGCTGTCAAAACCATTTATTAATTTATTAATTATAAAAATAAATTCTAATCAATACATTTTATTGAAGGATTTCTGTTACTGTTCGTTTGTTCAGTTTAAGGCAGTTTTAGACCGATTTGATGGTGTCCATATTACGATGACTTTTTTGTGTTTCTGCAAGAGACAATTAAATTAAACTCTTAGGAGATGATTCTCAAGTTTTAACTTTAGCTCATTCATATTTACCAGTATAACCAGCATAAGGAGACATTGATTGTACATTACAAAACTTTTAATTGGGAAAGTAGTATGTTTGCAGTTTATTCATTCACTATAGGTTAAGCCTTGTGCTCATTGCCATTGCCAAAAAAACATAAATGTAAGTGTGTGTAATGCTGAACTCACAGGATATGCAAGACGGCATTCTGAACCCATAGATCATCAGGGTTGGCACAGATCTGTCTGTTCTTCACTGTAGTAAAACTGCGGGAGAGAGAATGTTCTAGATTAAATATTACAGATATTACAGGTTGTTCTCTTACATTATTATGAAAGAATATTTATATCTGAGACATGCCATTTTCATCTATTTAAGAAATAAGTGTTGTTCCTCACATGACAGCCTCTATGTTGCAGGTCATGGTGGCGTCCTGTCGGGTGAAGTCTTTCAGTCGGAGGACAGGGAAAGGCTGTGATGAATACTTGGTACAACACCTCACCGGACCTAAGCACATGACAAATTCTCAGTTCATGTGGTTTCATGACACTTGACCCAACTACTGACCAATAGTTTATTCAAAGATTAATTCATCTGCTCATTTTCCTGGTAATAAACTTTACATTGTATACTATGAATAATGTTGTCTGTGAAAAATTGTTCTACTATTTTAAGCCGCTTTGGACAAAAGCACCTGCTAAATGCATACATGTAAATATAAAATTTGTTATTAAAATTTTTTTTAAAATCTTTGAATTTAAACAATGACATATATATATATTCTGTTTACGTTATTAAGGCCTAACGATTTATTTTTTAGTGTGTCGCTCTAAACCTGTACATTGCTTTTTTTGTGGGAAAAAAAAATATATATATATTTAGGCATTAAAGCTGCAGTCCGTAACTTTTTTTGGTTAAAAATTATCCAAAATCAATATTTGAGCAAGTACATAACCAGCCAGTGTTCAAAACTATCGCATTCACAACGGTTACCTAATAATAATGTTTTCTAATTTGAGTGGTACGGGTAGGTTTTCGCAGGAAATTCGAGCATGCTGCTGCATCATTACGTCACGTCTGTAAACATGAAGAAGTTGTCTAGGCTACTAGGCTATCGCATGTGAGGATCCTGCAGGTGGCCGATCGTTTGTAGCCTTTTCTCACAGCAGCTGGAATAATTTAATGCCAAAAAATCATTTTGATGGTGGATTGTAATCCAGAAAAGATTGTGTTTATTAAACACATGTGAATGAAATTAAATTATATTCCAGTTTTAAATGTGCTTCTGTTTACAGATAGCCTGGGATTACACAAGATTTGTATTTTAAAGACAACCAGTTCGAAGGGAGCATAGTTTGCTTTTTGGGTTAAACAAATTTCTTTGTATGAAATTCGAATGGTATGACAATTAGAGATTAGACTGTACAGAAATTTAAATCTACACACACACTATACTCATAGTCATGCAATGCTGATGTTGGTAACATTAATAATCAGAGAATAAAGTATAACAATAATAATAATTTGCACGGTTTGATGTGATATGAGCTAATCGATTAAATATCGTTAGATTAAATCACCATTGGTAGCACAATTTATTGTAATGCATTTTTCCTCAGTTGGTCAGAACAAACGTGGCAGACTTGTTACTTAAATTGAAATTGAAAATTCTTATTTGGGTCATATATTCCAAGACGTAGGTTAGAATCTGTGATTACTATGTATAGGATTCACACCGGTGTGGTGACTGCCTGCCACACATACTCCTCAAAACATTAGATTCATCCGCGCTGGAGCTGTGCCAGAGTACAACCCACGCAAGGAAGATAATTCCGCAAGTAACTGCAATTACAGGTTTTCAAACAGAGATGGCGACAAAGAGGCAAAACTTACAGCTTTAAGAACATAAACAAACAATAAACATAATGTGATGAATATTTGTCATTAGCAAGAAATAGTACTCAAAAAGTCACAACATAGTTATATTATTAACTATTAGCATCGGTTTAATTTCATTTAAAAAAAATCATATTTTCAAAATTAATTTATTGACATTGTTTAGAATCAATATGAATCTGTTAATTGTGAAAGCAATAAAATTAATTCATTTAAAAAGTATGAACATGGCTAAAAAGATGTGGAATAAGCAAAATTAGTTAAAGTGAAACAAATTGGATTTATTGATAATAAATATATAATCCTGGTTATTGTGTATTTAATTTTAGCACATTCAGATTATTAGTTCTATTACAGAAGTCAAAACCATATCATGTCAGTAATGCTCAAATAAGATGTTGGATTTGTTAGATAAACAGTTGTATTCAATTTGTCACTGAATTAAGACATAAACCCATCATTTCACTCAGTTAAATCATCAAATCAACTGCAAAATCCCTGATTATTAAGCATGGCAGCATCTCAGCTATATGACGAATGTGATCGTCCCAATTCAAAATATATAAAAATGCACGTGGTCACATGTCAAGAGCATCCTTGGTAATTCAAAGCACTGAGAAACACTTGAAACCAAAGAGATTGTATGAGAAAAGTCAGCTTTACTTACTGCTTTGACTCAGGCTGACCCAGACACACAGCAACAGCAGCAGCGCAGATGACATCAGGACAAGTCTGCTCATCCTGGGAGGGAAACAAGACACTTACAGGTGAAAAAGAAAAATGAGATTGATCAAAAGTATTCAACAAGTTGATGACAGTTGTGCGGACAGCAGCAGAAGTGTTGATGATGGTGATGATGAAGATGTAGAGCTCTTATAGTCCACGTTATATGGCATCCCCAAAAGCTACATTATATAGCTGTTCGTGAGGGGAATTTGTGGACCACACAGCATCGTCACTGAGTGGTGGAAGACAGGGGGAAAATCAAGGTGTCTTGAGTTAAATATTAGTAGGTCAGCTAAATCTGTCACAAGTGTGTATTCACTGAAATTACTGGTTTAGACACAAAACATTATTAGTGCTGGTAAATATCATTCAAAAACATATGTAAGGAATGCAAAACCAAACAAAACAACAACATAAAAGGGAAAAATGGAAATACTATTTTAAGAATAGATTATATGTAGTTCTTTAAAAAAAATATTAAAAAGTTAGATAAGGTTAAAAAGTATACCTGGGTAAACATGTAGATGGACGTTTTTCCTCAACATGAAGATTTGACATTAAAATGTACAATATGAATACAGTACAAGATGAGTTGTATATTTTAGGTGTCATTTGCTTCATTAAAAAAAATCTAATTTTTTTAAAAACTGAGGAGATCCAAAAAAAAAAAAGATTTAAAATATATAATTCAAGAATGTAAATTTTTTTTAAAAATTATACATATACTTGACCCCTGAC